TGGCCGCCCAACGATCAGACTGGTCAGTTTGCCAGTCGGGAAGGTGATGCAGGCGTGATGAGCGTTGCTGCTCCCAATTCTGCTGTTGGAAACGTTAGCGGAGCAGGTCTGGGCGATTTGGCCAGTTTAACAGTGGCCAACGAGTCGGAAAATGGCAACGGTAAGCCCATTTTTACACGCCTCGTGGTATTCTTTTTCCATATCCGTCTAGTCAACCTGATTGCCATGGTTCCAACCGTATTCGGAATAAAAAGTAGGCTGCATCGTCTTAAGAAATTCGCAAAATCCTGTATTCCTCTTCTTTATGTGTACTTGTACTTGTGACGGCTGCTATAATGCATAATCTAGCCGGCCTCACTGTCACGGTCTCTATCTTTCCACGTGTGATGATCCGCAAAGGTAGATCTAGACAGTTCAACCCATTCTCTTCACCAGCGACGGATGCCGAATACAAAAGGTCAATGGATCACTTTCATGTCTTGAAGAACTGTGGCGAGTCAGTTTTTAAGTTGTATCTCTCTTTGACGCCTCCAACTAGGTCATGGTGACGGATCGAGAGCAACGACACTGTGCTCTTGAGGTGAACGACGAAAAGGTGTATAAACCAACTCAGCCGCGTTTTTTGGATGACCTGAGATATCCTCGCGATATTGTCACAGCGAGTGCGGACCGCATGGTCTGAGACGAAGTCTGCATACTTCGGTCGAAGGATGGTCTTGAAATAGTGGTTGTCAAATGCCTCGAGTTTTCGCTCATCTTTCACGTGCAAAACCCAGCATTTACAACCATAGAAGAGAACTGTCCGAACGGATACACAGTACATGCTAATCTTCGTAGTGATGTAGATGCGACATCGAATTAATAGGCACTCGGCAGTAGCCTCGCCTCGAGGTATTTGAAACTGTCTACTCTCGCGAGGAGCCTTCTAGTTTGGGATGCAACTTGAAGCTTCTAGCGTCTATAGATAAAACGACCGATTCAGTGGCCTTCACCCATGATAGCATTCTCTGTAGATCACCAAAGCTTGAAGCTAACAAGGCGATATTATTAGCGTAACATAGACAATTCAGTCAGTGTCTGAGTGCAAATTCAAAGCCGTAATCTTCGTCTAGGGCCTTCCAGACAATTTAGTCAACAGCGTAGTTAAACAGTGGGTGACTGGATACGGCCTTGTTGAACGCCAGCCGAATAAGAACGGTTGAGAGATATTGATATAGATTCGAACTGACGCAGTGGTCGAGCACTGCTAGGCCTTGATCATGGCAACGCTTTTCGCCGTTATACCATCTAGTGCAATTATCTGTCACGAAATAACGATGGTCAACGAAGTCAACAAATCAGACAGCCATGGGTTGTTGTTAGCTATGGTGGAATCCAAGAATGCGCTTCAGTGGGAATATCTGGTCCGCATATCCACGCCCAGCACGGCACCCAGGTTAGTTGGGCCTCGTTCTAGAGTCGTGTACAGCCTGAAATTGCCTGAAAAGGACAACAGCGAAGAATTTTGTAGCAACCTTGATGAGGCTTATGTAGCGGTAATTCTCGTATTTCGCCCTATCTTCTTGAGGACAGGTAACAGGATGCCTGGGTCTTAGTCATCAGAAACGATCTGATCTCTCAACGCTTCTATAGCCACCTCATAGGGTCATAGCGTCAGAGTGTCGACACAAAAATTAGAGATTTAAGAGGGTGTACCGTCCTCTCCGAGTGTCTCGTTGTTACTCAGCCTTTGTATGGCCTCGATAGCTTCTCCAGAAGGTGTCGTTGCATGATACTGCATATGTTAGAGAGAGGAGACCCCGCCCTGGAGGAGAGCGGGGTAGTGGTGGGTTGGATGTGGGATTCGCAAGGGTTCTCCAAGTGTTCATGCTGTTTAAACATTGCCCGAGTTGTTAACAAGAAAGTCGCCATTAACTTCGCGAACAGTCACTCAGTGCAGAGGGGGCTCATAATCGGATCGGAGGTTAATTTGGTAGTTTTAGGATGTCACCAAGGTGGATATCATCTTCACCTCCATTCCAGTTTTCAAAAGAGCTTTAAATACATGCTTCGTTGTCCGTTCACTTCGCATCACACACTCACGAACAGGGTTTGTGAACTTCCTTTGAAGCATTGACTTTGCAGAGTCATCTGGGCGCCTGCTTTCTGACTGCAAATGGTTAACTCTTTCAGACGTATTCTTTGACCAACGTCAATAGTAATTGGAAAAGAATTGAGAAGAAGACTCGATCGCTGGGACAATACGTTTATTTGCCTGACGTTTCGAC